AATCTAGCATTTTCACATGGATTATAGCTTCCATTACCTTTCCAGTAATGCTAGTTAAACTGATTGGCCTATAGTTTGCTAGATTACTTCTATCCCCTTTTTTGAATATGGGTGTTATATTAGCATGCTTCCAATCAGAAGGTACCACACCAGTAGATAAGGATTTCTGAAATAGTAAAGTTAAAGGCTGGCTAATAATATCCCTCATCTCTTTTAAAACTATAGGTAAAATGCCATCAGCGCCCTGCGATTTGTTTATTTTGATGTTAGCTAGGTTTTGTACCACATCAGCCTCAGTTATACATATATTGGTGATAGACGATGCTGTATTTGTTCTACATGGTGGCAGGTTATTTGTGTTCTCTACTGTGAACACCCGTGGAAAATAATCATTAAACTCATTTACTATATCAATTTCATTTTCAATTATAAGACCCTTACTATCTTGCAGATTTTGATAGTGATTTCAGCTTTTAGAGCTCTTTTGGAGTTAAAATATTGGAAGAAACTTTTAATGTCATCCTTAGCCTCCAATGCAATCTTCCTTTCTACATTCCTCTTAGTGAGTCTAATGTTATTTTTTAACTCAACCTGTAGACTTAGATACTCCTGCTTTATTTTGAAATCATTAGTGGTTCAGCATGATGGCAGCGCTGCCATGAAAGACTACCATTGATACTGCATGCCATTTTTATTCCATATCCTCTATTATGGAACACAATATCCATTAATAGGTTATATGACCCAGCAAAGGTAACGAGCTGTGCACCAACTGTCTTGTCCCCTTCGAATGATGCTGTGTCACTCATTGAAAGATGAAAGCTAATGGCATGCCAAGCTCACATTGCCTGGTTCTGTTTAAATGGGAGAACACAGGATCGAACAGTGGTTGAGCAGAGTTCCCATTACCTTGAAATTAGAAACTATTTCCACAACATGAAGTACTCACAGAGTGTACCTCGATGATCCACCCCACTGTGTCAAGCGCATTAGGATGGTGACAATGTTGTGCTTGTACCCAGGCTGCCATGAGCTTACAGGAAGTGGTAAGAATTGGCGTACTCATTGGCTCCTATCATGGAACACTGAGCAACACATGCACACACATGCACACCCGCATCTCAGAACACCTCCCAAAGCATGAGACCTGACACTAACCTTTCCCTGAAGGCTAATACATGACAGGCGCTCCCGAGCCATTCAGAAGCACACTAGTGGAACCAGACAATAAAAATACATATTTCCATACCACCCAGCATCCATTTTTTATATCTCCTGTTGTTTCTGTCATGTGGGTTTGAAAAGTGCATAATCTGGCTCTCTCACTTGGATATAAAGTCAGCATATAAAATGACACAGGGACAGCCAGGATGGCTACATACCCAAAATGATTTTCATTCAAACCTCTGTTTTACATACATGTATTATAATATTAACACTCTTGGGTTTATTTTTATGTATATTTTTATCGGTTTACTCCATAGGTGGCACAGTGGTGCCACCTAGTGGAAAATAGTGCACATAAACATATTCTCATAAAATACAGTAGGGAAGCTTCACTCCCAGTAGGGGTTAGCCAATGATAAATTTACATTTGATAGTACATAGCTTATGCATGACAGAGCATGCATTTGTTTATTACCCTCACCCATGCAATAGGATAGACAACTAATGTAGTGGTAATGTAATTGACAAGGCTTTTAAAAGGCTTTGCCTTTTGACTGTCGCACACTTCCTCCAGCATTCTTTAAAGTGCTGCAATCCTGCTCGGGGCTGGATGAAACCTGCTCGGGTTTAGATTGAAACCTAAATGGTTAATTTCAGTGTTAGTACTTAAATACTCAGGAACGTGTGAAAAGGCCCAAGGGAGAGAAAAACTACAAGGAACGTTCTTAAAACGATTGAGATATTTTGCTCTGTATCTGAATGGGTTTTCAAATTGATTTATCCATGCCTGAGCATTGCATAATCGTAATTCTCTGCAGCAAGACAAATCTCCGTATGCAAAGGAAACCAGATTGTGAAATTAACCACCTGAATCAACAAGCATCTAACTAATATCACCTTGGTAGATCACCAGAAAATCACAGGATGTCAAATCACTGCAGGCTGGAATATTTCATCATTTTCCGGATACTGCAGCTTGCTTACAATAGAGAAGATTGAAAAAAGCAGCATGAGTATTATTTGTAGACACTGGCTGCTGCAGGGTTTTTCGTTAGCCAAGAAGCAAGATTTTGTAACATATAGCATGGTTGCTAAATGTGAGACTTCGAAATCACCAGCCTACACACAGCGATCTACAAAGCAGCACTAAGAAAAAGCTTAGAGGTGTCAACTTCACAGCTATGAAATGGTTCTGAATTTCACAAACTGTCTAAACATTCATATTTTTAAGAAGGGTTTGGCTAAATGTTTTGTTTGTTCTGTCCATTCTATCGAGGATTTTCACTTGGTAACGTGTTTTGGCAGGAAAGCACATCCCACATCGACCTTTGCATGTCTCAGCTCACCCTGAAGCCTTCATCGGGACTCTAAAATGACACCGACAGAATAGACCTGCAGTTACATCACTTCTGTGATGTTGTGCTTCACAGATTCAGCACAGCTGGGTGAATTGTTATACTCCTAGGCTAAGACACCGCTTCTTCTATAAACACAACAGCTAGAACCTTAACCTGAAATCCACCCAATCTGCTTTGAAGACAGCAGTCAAAGGTGTAGTAAGCAAACACCTGACTGGCTAATTCAACACACTGTATTTCCTGATGCATTAATACAGCTCATACGTCACAGGCAAAAAAACAAATACAAAAAAGGACAAAAGGCAAGTGCCACTGTAAACTTTATTCAAATCACCAAGAATAAAAATTTCAAAAGGCATAAATCATGCATTGATCTATTACTTTTCCCTTTTGCCCTATTTTTTCATACTCTCTTTACTCCATCTTATGGAACTATATATTTTTTAAATAATACAGAAATAAATAAGTTTTAAAAACAGTTTCCACCAAGGGCTCACATCGGCAAGCAGAAGAATCAGCCTGACCACGCTAATAACATTACACAAGCATGAATATGCACCCGTTTTCTGTTTGCTTTTTTTAAGCTGATATCCCGTTGTTCTGCCTTGTGCATACACTTTGGAAACACAGTGATTTTTTAGGCGGCCAACTGAAATAACATGAATATAACATACAGGGCTCTACTGATTTTACAGGAAAAACAGAGAGTAAACATTTGATATAAAATATTTGACACCTTTTCATGCTACAGAGCAGCTGCATCTGAAAGAATGAGTCCTTCCTCTTTTAAGAACTTTTACACAGAGGCCAAAAAAGAGACATAGATTCCTTGGAAGAAACAAGCATTCAAAAGTTTCAAAATATAACCAATAATTTTGGTGCCATATTTGATTTACACTCAGCATAAACTTACTATGCATGTTAGAATATCCTGATTTAAAATATTCCCAGAGAAATAAGACTAGCCTCAGTCAATAAAATAAATTCAATTTATAAAAATATTTCTTGGCATGTAACTCAGCCCCCTACCCCCCATCAGGAACAAGGCACTGTTCCCAAACGAGTCGGACAGTGCAGTCACCTCAGCTTAGGATAGTCAGCTGTACGGTTCTCAGGGATGGTTGGGCTTTAGGCTCGGATTGGGGCAGAAGAGGTAAAAAAATCCCTTTATTTTATCTCCAAACACCAGACACCTCTTGAAGCCAACGTTCCCTTCCACTGTTCTCCCAGAATTCCCGCAGAGGGAAGCTGGAACATTCCAGAATCCACTCGTGTGCAAACAGCAGCAAGTTATCACCGGTTCACAAGTTCAGCTTGAAAACACTGTACTATGAATTTCACTAAAATATTCTATCCCCCTCTAAATCAACAACCATTTAAGACTGGCTTACAAATAGAGGAAACATTTTTTCAAGCGCCTTAGATACGATTGTGTACTTCCAAATATACATTTTAAAAAAAATAACACAATAGCACATCAAAGGCAAATAATACAACTCTATTGGGAATAAGAATATGTTGTCCTTCCATTGTCCAGAATCTTGTTTTTCATTGGATCTAAAATTTAATGAGCAGCCAGCACACTTAGATACCACGCACATATATGACATTTTCATTTAACGTTTGAAACCAAAGGGTCAAATTATTTGAAATATTGGGCGCTACACTATTTCAAATTTAATAAAATTGAATTGTTGCATACTTACATTTTGTCATGGTTGCCAGTAATAAGTTTAGTACAGCAAAACTTTGACAGACATTTCTTTGTTTCTATATATTGATACCTGATTAATTCAAACAAGGGATGAACAAAACAACTGCACAGAACTACATATCCAGTCCGGGCAGAAGACCACTAGCCTGATTATAAAAAGTAATTAGCAGATTAAACAACAGCATGCTTTTAGCACAACGTAATACAATGTGTGGTTTTGTTTGTTTATAATTACAGTCCCTAAAAAGGTACAGAAAATACTCCTGTGTGTGATGTGCTGATTGGCTAAGTGCTAACAAGCCCACACAATTCTCATTGGCCAAACTGCCGCTGGTGGATGAGGTCAGCAGTGCATGGCCTACTTTTGTCCTTTTCTCCTCACTAAAAGAGTGCTTAATGAGCTCTAAAGCACTAAAAAAAACAGTACTAGTTAAGTTATGATGATACTCTACCAACGGACATTTATTCCTCACTTATATAAAAGCTGCCCTCATTTCCTTTTAAGCTACACAAAACACTTCCCTATTAAAAAAAAAATCTTTTTTTGATATTTATCATCTAGTAACCAGTTAAGTTTTCCATCACTACCACTTTTCCTTAGATATGGCAATTAACCTTGCAGCAACACCCACAGTAAAAATATATATATATATATATATATATATATATATATATATATATACATACATACATACATACACATATATATACATATATACATACATATATATGTACATACATATACAGTACATACATATATATACATACATACATATACATGCATACATACATGGCAAACACGCCATTTCAACACCCATTTCATGCCATCGTCTTTCCTATCCCTCCTTGTCTCCTGTGCTTGAGCGGTAAATTTTCGATCCATGTCACGTGAGTGGTATCGCAGGCGTGTAGCAGAAAGCCCCGCGTTCTTCAGTTTGACCCTTTTTATTCCATGTAGAAAACATAGTCCGGGTGGCACAAGAAAGTGCCACAATCTTATTAAAATATAGTATTCACTTGAACTGGAAAAATGTGACCTCAATCTCGGCATTCTAACCTAAATTTTATATCGACCATGGGATGTAATGCTACAGTATTTCTATATTTTAAACAAAACTGCAGCCCCACACAAACGCTGACAGAGGCATGTCTACTTCTGTAGTAGCTTCTCTGGCTTTGGATACCCAAAGAGCTTAAAGTCTGTTTCGTAAAGCCGGTACAGGTCTTGCCTCCATTTGTGTGGGATGCTGTTAAACCAGTCCCATTCCCAGCTGACAACTGTCTGGTTGTGTTTACTGGAGGGGAACTGTACGATGTTGTCGACCCGCAGGACCCGAAGCAAATGCTCGGCATCCTCATCCAAAGTCTCCAGCTTTCCCACGAAGTCATAGTTTATCTGGCAAGGGTGGCACAAGCGATAGACCTGCTTCCAGTGCTCGTTGAATGGCATCTTCTTTTCCGTCAGGGGGTCCAGCAGATACTGAATGAAGTTTGAGAAGGATGGACGGATACCAGCAGAAAAGGCATCAACGACAGAGGCAGGGGGATCGGAGTAGTTGGCGTATTTCTTCAGCATGATGACGGCGAACTGCCGATAGAAATCCTCATTCTCCTGCTCAAACTTGTTCCTGTAAGCTGAGATGAGTCGCACGAAGGGGTCCCTGACGAACAGGAACTTGGTGTACTTCTTGAGCTTAACTTTCATCAAGTGGCGGGAGAACTTGCCATAGCGTTTCCAGAACTTGTTGAAGGTGAAATGGCTGCTGCTATTGTGGACATGCTCCAGGGGAACGTCCATGGGGTCCTGATAGGGGGCGCCGTCAACAAGTAGGCTTTCACTCAGCATGATCATGATGCGTTTCCAGTTAGTGCACGCCACCTTGGGCACATAGCAATAGATGATCCCGTGGCGGTCATCCACGATCAGATGGTCCAGCTCCTTGTTGGGAATGTCATCGAATGTCCGGTTCTTCCCAGGGAAGTCTATTGTGCTGTTGCTGCAAAGGTCTCGCAGGGTCTGCTTCCTGTCTTCCTGCCGCTGCCTTTTCTCAGCAGAAATGGGGGTCAGGTGGATCTTCCACTCTCGTCGTGGCACAAATTTCTCCTCGGGCTTCCCCGCCTCACCTGACTGGTTGCGGAAGCCGGGGGTACCCTCCTGCGTCTGCTCACTGGGCTCGGAGGTGCCCTCGAGGAACTGGTTGATGAAGGCATCAACGTCAGAGAGGAAGACGTTCCCCTTGTCGTCGTCCGCTTTGTGTCTGACCCTGGCTTGGTTTTCGGGGGGGATGCGAGAGGAATGGGGCCCAGAGATGGTGGTGTGCAGGTAGAAATGAGTGGCTCCAACGTCATCCCAGTAAATTATAATCAGCAGGATCATAAACAGGGAGCCCAGGATCAGGAAGATGCGAAAAAGTCTCGGTTTTCCCATTTTATCTGATCCGAACGGAAGAAATTCCATTCTTATCTCACTTCCATGTCACCATCCGCTGTACAGGAAATCACTATTCCCTTGTGCAGGTCCTGGACCAAGACAAAAGAGAGAGCAAAGCAAATGTTATCTGTATAATAATGTTCAGCATATGCAATAAAATCATCTATGAAGTGCTCTTGCACAGATGAAACTCCTCTTTTATTTCTAAATATTATTAGAAACATTAAACATATACAGAATTATTATGGATTTTGAAAAGGTTTCTAGAGGGTCTAAAATGTCCCCATTGGCGATCTTGGATTGTGGGGTAAGCCAGAAACTGCTCCTACATGTCCCTGGTTTCAAGCTTCCAGAGACCCCAAACCCACCGGATCCAGACACTAGGTGTCAAAACTTTGACGCTGATGTTTCTTACCTATCCTGTTACATACAAATATTCCCTCACAAAAACTCACCACCCTGGAGAGAGTAAAATTTGCCTGGCTTCCACTAATTCTGGCATCTTTCATAATCAATAATCCAAATGAGCAACAATAAACAAAACAAATATTGGAGGAGGGATGGGGGTCAAGTTAAAAAAAAAAAAACGTGGTTATTTACAAAAACTAAGAAACAGAAATGCCATTCAGTGAATGGAAAGATTTGACATTAAACATCTAAAGTTGCGGCTGGTTGCGAGTAAGCTAGTCCGTTTCCACTGCAGACGTCGGCCTCGATCCTGTGTGGTCAGTCATGCCAAACAGACGATCCAGTGAAATAACCCTTCAAAACATTCAATTCCCAAAAACAAAAGTACGATTTATTAATGGGCAATCAACTGAGTTGGACTGGGTATTTCTGTTACACATTTTAAATGTAAGAATGAATAAATTGAAACTAAAATTGAAACCTGTCTGTGGATTGAGAAGTACTACTATGGATGTCATACCATTACTTCACACCATGGACCTTTTATCCAAATTGGTATGGTATAAATTAAATAATCAAATCTAAAACAAAGCAGGAACATAATACAAATCAGTAAAACACGAAATATAGATATGGTTTCTTTCGCAAAACAAGGTTTCATCTCTCTCTCTCTCTCTCTCTCTCTCTCACACACACACACACACACACACACACACACACACACACACAGAGTGAAAGAAAGAGAGAAAGAGAGACGGTGCCGAGTGCATTATAATAATTCGACCACAAATAAAGCTAAGGATAACGAAGTTTTATTAACATTTTAGATTTATTAAAGTATATTCAATTATAGTACTTTAACCTATTTATCAAAACCTGGCAGCAACACAAGTTCCTCGCCGAATGTGGCAAGATATCCAATTGCCGTTGCGCACAAATTAAATATACATGATGACATGATGAAGAGCTCAGACCTTGTTTAAAAACAACAGCGCTGCTGCTGAGCCCAAGGAAACTTCACGTTTGCACGTTTGGCAGAATCAGTTGACACAACAGCGATCGGTCACCGGCATTAAGGGAAAAGCCTTTCTCGCTGCGCTGAAAACTTCCTCTTTAATATTTACTCTTATGTCGAGCTAGAAATCACAACGGATCTACAAATCCGAGGTAACTGAATGGTCTGATAAAAGGAAACGATTGCACCTACTGATCAAATGCAACTGTGTCCCCCCGCGGAATACAATGTATCTCTTTCAAGCCTTCCTGCTCACCCCCTCCTCCCTCCCTCCACAGCTGCCAGCGCCGCAGCCTTTCCGATGGAAGATGCGCCTTTCCTGCAGGCTCTACACCCAGACCGATCGGCGACCGCCCGGAGGTAGCCCCCATAGAGCCTGTCTGCTAGTCCACCGCGTCCTCCACGATCCCCTTTCAATCACACAAAGTTTAAATAATTTAATGCGTTTTCTCAGCAAAGTACAGACCAGACCTGCACCGAAACGATTTCGGATCACTTTTTTCCGTAAGACCCTTCAGAGCAAATTTTGAAAAGGTATGCAGTTTTGACGGCTGTCAGGAGATCTGCGTCTGAAAATATAAATGAATGAACCAACCGCTCCCCTTCCCTTAAAAGCACACCGTATTCATCGCTCGTTGTAACTCACCTCTTTTTTTAAGGTTCTCCACGCTGTCATCTGGTGGCATCGGCGACTAAAATGATGCACGAAATGCTCGCTACATAAACCAGGAGGCGGGGGAATCATAATGAAATATCGCGAGATTTCCGCTTGCGAGTGCCGTTGAAAGCTGTTGAAAGCGGCTGCCGACGCATCAGATTAATGTGACGGCTGATAACCGTACATTTCAAACGTCATTTAAAATGACATTTATTTGTTTGTTGGTTGGTTATTGTTTATATTATTTATTCATTAATTCATACATACATTTAATTTACATACATACAAATTGAATCTGTGTATTCATTTATGTATTGTACGTGCATATGTAAGTGGTATGGTGAGCAAGTCCAGCGAAGGAATCCTCAGATATAGTTTTAGGAGGGAAGTTATAATAAATGATGTCTTACTGCAGAGCGCTACAGACACTGGCCTACCCCGTATCTCTTCCAAAAATGGAAGTTTTGGTCTCAGTGAATTGTCTCCACAGCATTCAGTCCAAGCTGAAAATAATAAAAATATAAATAAATAGTGTGCCTCCAGATACAACATAATTATAAAGTATTTATAAACTTATGATATAGAAATGTGCCATGTTTCCACATTGGATTCATATTTATTGAAAATGCATGTTTTTACTAAAACAGTTATTTTTTTAGGTATCTATGTAGGCCTATGAATAATTCATCCATCCAGACAGCGTATCCAGTGCGGGGTTGCAGTGAACCTTGAATGGAACATCATCTTGACTGAGTCAAGATGTGCTTCACAGACAGTAACGATCACGATTTAAGCTGTAACTCTACAATGGCCTGGTGTAATTTCATGCCGTGTCTTGCTTCACATTTCAGAGGAGCATTCTCTGTATCAGCAGCATTAATCTGTCGATGATTTATCTTGATTCTAGATCTCTCAGTTCTTCATAGTATCAAATCACGAACCTCAAACCTTCTCGGTTTGTTCTATTTAAACAAGGATGAGCTCGCACACTTAACTAGTTACTAACTATACATCAGAAATTTGTTAGCTGCTTATACTTGGAGCCCAAGTCTGGGAAATCGTGCACTCATGACCACGCTGACTGTGCGCATCGCTTTGAGGTTTTTTGCAAGCCGCACTTGTATATTATAGGAGATGCAGAAAATTTGTCAGTGAGCGCTGTTTGTCAGGCAAATTGCAAAGTCTACTTGGCTCTGGAACACTTCCTCAGAGATTTTATTGTTTTTCATGGATACCTACATGTGCAGACAATTAAAGAGGCCTTTTATGCCATTGCAGGTAATATAAAGGCAAAAACCTATGTTTCTTTAAGAACTTTAAAATCAAACTAATTTTATCATTCCCCATGATTCCTTAATATGATTGGAGCACTGGACTGTACTCCAATCCAAACCAAGGCCCCATCAATTGCAAATGAAGGGGATTAGAAGAAAAGAAAGGGCTTCCCCTGTCACGCCCCTGGGGGGCGGAACCCCGCAGGTG